CTGTTAGTCAGCGTCGTTCACTCGGTCCTCCTTTACGGGTCCCCGGTATGGGCGGGTATACTGGAGTACTCGCCCAAGAACGTGGAAGCGTTGAACCGGGTCCAGAGAAGGGCCGCTCTCCGGACGATGTGCGCATACCGCACCGTATCCGGAGTGGCGGCCAGGATCCTGGCTTCTCTGCCGCCCGCGGACCTGTTGGTCGTCGAACGCTCTACGAGCGGAAGAGTACCGGTCAACCGCTTCGCGCGGAGGATCGGCTGCAACTCCGGAGTGTAACCGTGTCCAGTTGGCGCCAACGACTGGCCGACGAGGAATCCGCGGGAGCGTGGACGAGGTCCCTCATCGGACCCAGCCGGCTCGACATGTGGATTGGCCGGACTCACGGGGAAATGACATACCGTCTGACCCAAGTGATGTCCGGTCACGGCTGCTTCAACGAATACCTTCACGGTCTTCGGCAGGCAGCCGCGCCGACGTGTGATCACTGTTGGGATCGCCCGGGAGAAGCGGACAATGCTCTGCATACGCTCTTCCGGTGCGAAGCGTGGGCCAACGAGCGGGAGGACTTGGAATCCCGCTTAGGGTCCGCGTTCGGTGTGGGGTCCATGGTAGACCATATGCTGAGAAGCCGGGAGAGGTGGTCTCCGATTCAGACGTTCGCCGTATCGGTGATGAGCCGAAAAGAGGAGGCCGAACGTCTGAGGCAGAGACTGCCCAGGGTGAGAGTACCTGCGACGTCGGCTAGACTGGCGCCGTAGGTGCTTATTGCATGTGTCTTATGTTTTGTGTTTATGTTATGTATGTTTGTGATTTATTAAGCCAACCCTCGCGAAGTCCTGCCCCCACCTCCACGTGGTGCAACCCGGGCAACGGATACCGACTTTTGGAATGCGGCTAACGGGGGAGGCCACACCACGTTGTGAATCAACTCTTGATTAATTTCGGGCTGATTCACAACGTGGTGGTGTGAATTTTTAGACGGCGTGGGCCGCCCTGAAGCAATACCTCACGGTAGTTCCAGGGCGGTCCACAGCATGCCGGCGGTGAAAAAAAAAAGGGTTTCACCCATTGTGCGCACCTCACATCCAATTCGGTTTACCCACTTAGGTGTTATCACTGAAGTGTTATTACCAACGATTGTATGTAAGACGTTCTCGACGGTGACAATTACTTGATTGTAACCACCGATAACATCATAGAGTTTGTTAACAAGTCGTTCAAAGAATAGTCAAGGAAAAGTATGGTGGCGGCTGCCGCTACTTGACGTACACTATTTCAATGTAATGTAACATTTAATATTAAACGCAGTGAAGAATCGTACCCATCGTACGCGATGTAAGCAGATGCCCGAGAACTAACCCTTGTGGGATGCCTCCCGTAACAGGTCTGACTCTTGGGCCCGCGGCGCTCTTGTAGGAGATGACCCGATCGATAAAGTACAATCGGATCATCCGCCCGAAGTAAGGAGCCACTCGAGGACGCTCCGAGGATGTGTGACCATCGCACGGAGTTGAACGCATTTCGGATGTCCAGGCTTACCGCCACCCCGAAGCCCTGCTCAGTTTTGGCTCTGAGGGCCAAATCCCGGAAGAGGGAGGCCGCGTCTTCCGTCGACCACCTACGTTCCAACCCCACACGCGCGCCACCGCATCGGCCATCTCCTGGGTGGTGAATTTCTCTGCCGACACGTCATCTCCATACACCGTGGGAGACAGTGGCGGATGTCTCGGAAAAAGCGTATCTACCGTTCTTTCCAACACATCCGCCTCCAGCTGACCCGAAGACGGTGGACCGCGGAGCTTCCACATGACGACCCGATAGGGTTTCCTCCACGGGTCGTGGTTCACCAACTTCACGAGTTCGGCTCAGCACTTCGCTTTGGCCCACCTAATGTTTTTTTTTATATTTATTATAGTGAGAGATTCGATTAATATTATTTGGGTGTTTTTTATTACCCTCAATAATTAAAATTTTTCCCAAGTTCCCCGATTTTTAAAATCGATAAATTTCGACAATTTTTTTCTAAAAATTGTCATAACTTATTGAAAAATGAACGAATCAAAATAATTTTTTTTTTATTGAAACCTTAGATATTTCCCTTTCATTTAATATCATTTTTTTTTTTTTTTTTTTTGAAAATTTGACCCTTTACCTGCCCACAAGAGATGATTTAAAATATCAAATGTTTTACAAAACTCAACTCTTTTTAATCATATGTAAAATTAAAGCTTATATTACGTATTATTAATTAAAAAAAAACAATTTGTCCCGACGATCTATTTTACGTACAAACGGCTGTCGTAATTAAAAAACATGATATTTTTGTGTTCAAATTTTATTTTTGTTTGTTTATTTTAAAATACCTTATAAGAGTTTGCCATAGTAATGAGTCCAATAATAAATATAAAATAGACATAAATCTAACTTACATTAAATATAATTTAAATTTTGATTATTTTGCCTCTTCAAAGTAAAGAAAAGTTTTTTTTAATTTTTGAAAAATTATATAAAAAGTAGAACTTTTTCAACCTAACTTTTGAAAATGTTCCAGGAATACTGCGTCTTTTAAATATATGTTAAATAAAGCTTATTTTATATACTAGAAGTTCAAAAAAAAAAAATGAAAAAAACCAGCACAGGGGGGTCGCGGCACAGTGGAGACGTGGCATAGTTGGATTAAGTATAATGATATCTGACAGTGATTAAAATCACTATCAAAAAAAAAAGCTTCGATGCAAATCTTTAGATAGTGTTTAATTTTAAAAAATTGGTGGATTATTCCAAAAGCTTCATAAACTGCTAGTTCCTTATTAATATCCTGATTAAGATAAAGTATGTCGAATGAAAAAGGGATTATTAAAAAATATTATTTCTCATAAAAAAATTATGTTGATCCATACACTTTTCAATAAGTTATATCATTATAAAGTTAAAAATGTAAAACATAAAATCGAGAATTTTCACACAATAATAGCATTTGGTAGCCATTTTCACCGTGAAGATAAAATAAAGTACGAAATTTTTTTTTTTTTCATAATAAAGTAAATTATATTAGCTTTAATTTAAGGTATATATAAAAATGTCAGACTTTCCGGAACATTTTCAAAACTCAAGTTGAAAAAAATAATTTTTTGTGAAAAATTTGTCATTTTAAATCCCCTCTGTGGGCAAGTAAAGGGTCACATATAAAAAAAAAATATACCAAATGAAAGGTAATGATATCATGCATCTATAAAAAAAAATAATTATATTGATTCGGTTATTTTTAAAAAAGTTATAGCAATTTTAAGTAAAAAAAATTGAAAAAATTTCGAAAATTTACGATTTTTAAATTTGTAATTTTTTTGGAGGTTTCCCCCATTTACGGGGAACGAGGGAATTTTTTTCAATTTTTGAGGATAAGGTCTTCGACTAGATACAATTTGTGATCTTTTGACGTATCATTGAAAGAAATCGGTTCGGTGAGAGCTGAGAGCTGAGAAAAAGTGGTAACAGACACAAAAAAATAATAAACACATCTTAGTAAAACCAATACCTTCTCAGCTTCGCATCGAAGCTAAAACTTGTACCGGTGACTTATTTTCTATATGCAAATGGCAGCCAGTGTAAAATATAAAAATATGAGTTAATTTTGCTTTTGGAATAATCCACCAATTTCTTAAAATTAAACAATATCTACAGATTTGTACTGAAGCGTTTCTTATGATAGTGATTTTAATTAGTATCAGATATCATCTATACTTGTCTCAATTATGCCACGATCACACTGTGCTACCGTTTTTTTGTAAGAGAAAGTAATCAGATTTTTTAAAAAAAAGTACCTCAAATGAAAGAAATATTTATTAAGTACGAATAAATGTACTTATTATATAGAAATTGTAATTTTTTTTTTTTTAATATTAACACCATTTGTTGTGTAAGTTTTGTTAGTTACATTTTTTTAAAGAACGATTTTTTTATAAGAAAATAACAGTAATACAGCTTATTTTCTTTTACCTAAGAATATTTTCCCGTGAAAATGAAAATACTGAAATATAATGCCTTTTTCGCTTGAAATGTTATTTTATGTTTCTCTAAATTGGTCAATTTCTAAACTCCATAATGATAGATTTTAATTTTTGAATTACTTGCGTTAAAACTGTATACAATTTTATTAATTTAAAAATAATTTATCAAAAGTGTCACCATTAACGCTTTTAAGATAAAAGTTATCTGAACTAGACGCTGACGGACATTGTTCAAAATCACATAAAATCGACCACAGCAACGTACAAAGAATTTACACTGCCCAAATTATTAACATTAATAATATAAGTAAAGAACGTAAAGCAATAGGTCAAGTATGTATTAATGTAAATATTAAATCTATTGACCTAAATATTTAATATTTTATTCTATGTCAAAAAAGTCAATATTTGATTGTACCAGTACACATTTGTATGTTAAATTTCAAACTTTAATCAGTTTTCACTGATTAAACAAAAACAGTTTGTTTCGGGATCTATTATGTAATAACATTTTTTATATTTTAATCTGTATCTATAGATTTCTACTAAATTAATTTCCAAAAGTAAAAAGTTTTTCCCTAATTATGAAAATTAAAAATAATTAAAAATGTTTGAAAATAATTTTTATAAATAAATACATTTATTCATTAAGATTTATTTTGTATTACATTAGGCAATAATATATTTTATATTCCCAAGATATGTTCTGAAAATAAAATCCTTAATAAAATGAATAAATCTTTTTTATTTAAATTTTTCAGTTAACCGATATTTATCGTTTTGAATTTTGACTCGCACAAAATTTCAAGAATAAAAAAATAATATAAGTGTATATTAGAGCTTTATTTTTTCTTAATGTAAATTCATTAAATTTTATGCCATTAGAATTTTTATTGCTTTCACGCGCATAATAATTTTATTAAAAATATAAAAATATTGTAATTTTTTTTTATTTAATTGTACATATATATTTTAACAAAAATATACCAGCAACTCTATTGTGTTGAATAATTTTCATTTAAACAGACATGTTTAATTTACGAAAATTATATTATTGATTGTTATCTTCCTTTTAAGCTGCTTCTTCAGATTCTATCGAAGGTGTATTGGATGTGTCAGATCCATTAGAATTATTTGAACTTTTTAAAATTGGGAAAAAACTTTTCATACTTGGAAATTTAGACTAAAAATAAAATTAGATATTATCAAAAACATTTTTTATTTAGAATAATATTTATATCTTGAAAATAATTTGTTATTGCAATAACTTGTTTCAGTAGCATATTTAAGAAGTGTTAAGACTTAACACCTACTTTCATTACGTAATTTATATACTTTTTTAGATAATTTTTTTTCATTGTTTCAAGTATCTATTCATAAAATAAAAAACAATACTAGAAAAGTCTTCAAATTTAAAAATTTACTTTAATAAATTAAAAAAATATAAATTTATAGCAAACTAATCATTTCTTTGTATCATTATTATCAAAAAAGTTTGATTGAAAGTATCTACTCATAAAATAAAAGATGTATGTATATGTCATAATATTTTATATTATCATCTCCTTGACCAAATCGCTACTGAATTATTTTTATTGAATGTCTCAAAATAAATAACATTTGTATCATACTACGATATTGAATTTATTAAAAAGTAATAGTTTTAAAATATACATTAATAAAATCTTATCATAATTATACTGGATAATGATTAAAAATATTTTTTACTGACCCCTTTTTTTTTTTTAATTTCTTCAAATAATCCCGTTCGATATAATTCTCCACATGTAGCTACTTTTTCATGGCAAATATCTAACGTCCATCCCCAACATTTATAAATTTTTTCCGACTTTGAGCAAACAAATTTTGCAATTTTATCATCTATGTCTTTTTCGGTTCTATTCTTGATAGCAAATAAAACTCTTAGTTCGTGGAAATATACAGCAACACTATTTTTCAATATACCTAAAATATAACAAATCATATATTGTCATTTATTGTTAGTTAAATAGAGACAGCATGAGACACTACTGTGGCATCTGAAAAAGGTCTCGCATAAAAAAATATCATTTGATTATTTGGTGATAAGGTAATGTGGTTATTATTTGCCGAGAGCCTCCCAAATCATAACGCTAGTTCTATAACAAAGTATCATTCAAAACAAAATGTAATTAGCGTTGTTTTTGAATGATTAATTATTTAAATGCGTGTCCAATGTACATCATTATTAAATTTCCTAAAATTTTACGACACTAACTTTAGGGTAAAAATCATTTTATTGAAAATTCCTTTTGCAAGAATGTAACTTACCAAGTGCCTCAGTTAAATTTGCTTTCATACTCCATTGACCTAGACAATCTAATAATCTTCTTGTTGCAATGCCAAAATTTTCTCTTGTTTTATCCAATGCTGTATCTTCTTCGTCGTTAGTTTTTGCTAATGCTATTAAACAAACCTAAAATAATTTATATAGTAGTATAATATTAGTACAATTAAAACAATAACTTTAAATAATGCATTAAATATTCATTTGTAATTATTAAATGATATTATCTTACAAGAAACACTAATTTATGGTGTTTATTTAAGATGTAAAGTAATCATAGTTTTAGTGGTTAAATATATATTTCGAACTACTTAAAAAAAAAATTACAATTATTAATAATACATATGTAATATTTATATTACTAATTTTTATCAAAAAGTGTATAGGTTATTGGTATAAATCTAGAATATTGCACAGAACAAATATTTATTAGCGTAATGATTATGACATAACTAAGGTACACGTTTGCTTGTTACTCTTTTAGGTAATTAAAACGTATTTGAAGAGATAGAGACAATATTTAGGTAGCTACAGATTCTTAATTTGTCCAAGATCACCGAACCCTAACAGAAGTTATCAACATTTTTAGCTTCGATGCGAAGCTGAGAAGGTATTGGTTTTACTATGATGTGTGTTTTTTTTTTTTTTTTTTTTTTTTTTTTTTT